AGGAAAATTGAGAAAAAGTTAATGTCCACATGCTCTCGTGTATGTGTATGTATGCGTATGTCTGTGGGTAAGTGTATGGCTGCGTTTGTGTATGTACTTGATTATGTAAAAGCAGCTGGGCCCAGTGTCATGACATCGTCAAGTCATAACAGGAAGCAGCAGGAAGCTGCTTGAACTCTATGCCAGCAGACGGAAGCAGAGGAAACTGCAGCGCTCGATTATGTCATTCGACCGAGCTGCGCGACCGACCCGACTGACTTTAAGCTACGCAGCCTGGAAGAACGGCAACTCGGCAGCAGACTGATATTTCTTGTGTACATAGCTATAATGCATTGCACTGAAGTAAACGTGTCTCATCTTATCGCCAGCATTTTACGAAATAAACAGGTTTTAATTTTGTAATTACATATGTATTATTTATGCAATCTTTGCAGAGGCTTCACCTTTATTTTTCCAATACATTGCTGTAGAAATTCTGAGAAACTCCAACACACACCAATGGTTCTCTGACATCGTCTATCACGTTCAAGCACTTAATTCTTCAAGTTCTTTGTACAGTCTTTATCAACATTTATAATACAAGCTGTGCAAGTCTAAATAGTATTGTAGATTATGATAAGAAACCGAGGATGGTATCACTCACGGGATGGAAAAAGGTAGTGCGAAGCCCTCGAAAATCAAGGAGATCCTCAAATCATTCAGGCAGGTTATCTTCAATTACTTTATCCAACACTCTATTCCAGCATTATGTTAATAGCATAATGCATAACGCCAGTTCTTAGAGTCCTGTTAAGGCGAACATCTGAATTCGATGTTTATTGGATACAATTCCACTGTAAGTCCTATGCATTCAAATCTCTATATGAGATAATTCAATTCTTAGCTTACTGCGACAGCGACAGTTTCACTCAATTAGCAACCAAATTAACGGTGCCGTATCCTTGATCTACTGCAGTGCGCAGTTTGCGCTGCAATTTCATTTGTTTTTGTTTGCTTTTGGCATGGCCTGTGATTTGTGCGGCCAAATTATGCACATTTGTTTTTACAAGCTCGTAAAACGATAGCAACTGGAAGCAAATGATGCGAATGCGGATGCGGATGCGGATGCGGATGCAGATGCAGATACGATGCCCAGCAAGAACAGAAAATAAGCTCACATTGCGTGACAGGATGCTTCTGTATGTGTGCCGTGTATATGTGTGGGTATGTGAGCATTGTGTGTGTATGTGCTGTGTGAGTGTGCCAGTTATTAAAAGTATTGGACGCATCGCTTATTCATGCAGTGAGTGCAATTTTATTTAAATTTAATTGGCAGTTTTCTTCTCCCTGTCTCTTATTTATTGCCCATCAATAATTGAGATGATGTCAGTTCTTGTCTTTATTGTCAATTTATTTCTGCATTCTTATGCCTGGGCAGCTATAAGGCCGTACCACCAATTTTCAAATTGTGCATCAGCTGACAAGCATCTATCAATGTGCGTACAAAACTTTGCCTTTTCAGTGCGGCGAAAGCATTAAAAATCATCTAATTTATGAATGCAGCTAAGAAAGCATTTCAAGATCAACAACGATAATACCTGCTTCCACTGTAGTCAGTCATGATAAAAAGTGAACACTACGTAACCCAACCTAACCGTAACGGTAGTGTACAAATCGTAAAGTATTACGTATGTGCAATGTAAACTAAGCTGCAAATAGAAATACTCGTAGCAGCTCAAAATATGTTCTCTTCTTTATGTTGTCTTGGTGATACGAGTTCAAGACTTGATATTAATGAGGAGTATAAAATTAAGTATATATAATATTAGTATTAATAGCTCTATGAAAATAAATGAATGACGTAATTCAGGAAGAATTGTCATGTTTTAGTTTGGCACAGATTGAAGTCCTGCAGTCTTCACATTTAAAAACATGCCTGAGTATCAACGATATCAGAGACATGCAAATAAACAAATATTGATTTTCGTTAAACGAAATGGATGGCTAAGAGAAATGCTGCCACGTCTGTATACGCCTAATTCGAAAGGCGACAGCAACAGCAACAGCAACACCAACAACAAACAGCAGCAAAAATGTTTATCGAAACAGAAACTTTTTAGCTAATGCGCTAGCAAACACGCATGCCACGCCCAGTTGCCCAGTTGCCCAGTTGGGCTGGCATAGAACATTTGGTAATTGAAGCTGGCGCAGGTCTCGGTCTCGGTCTCGGTGCCGTGATAAATTCAAATGCCGCTGCGTTGCAATCGCATTGCATGACTCGGCAGCAGCGCCACAATGGCCCGTCAGGGTTGCCACCCAGTCGAACAGCCAGCCACCTTCTGGCCACCCACACGTGGCAGCGCCCTCGCCGAATGCATAGAGCTCGCACAGCCCCGAAGACGGCCAAGCGTGTCCTTGAGCGCACTTTTCTGCCACTTGGCTTCTATTTGTAATTTTAACGAGCTTCCCGCTTTCTTTGGGCCCTGCTTTCCATACCCATTGTCAGTGGCAAGCGAGGGTATAGGAGTTTAGTGCTATGCATATGTCAGGTTGTAAAAAAGTGAGTTTTTATTGTCGAATCTAAATAGTACTCAGGAACAATATATATTCTTCAGATATCGATAATTATCGATTTATGATTTCGTAACAAAAGGGACATTTATTTGTATGCCATCTAACTTTCTTTACGAAGTTTTTCAATCTCAAGTAAATGAAAAAGTAATCTTTATGTAGAGCCCACCAAGTCAACTCAGTGCCATAAACTAGTATATCTAATCAGTTGTTTAAAGTTCTTAAAGTTAACTTATAAATACAAAATGGAATCACCGAAATCTGGAGTATTTCTCAGCATAGTTTTTTAAACATAAAACATATTTGCCAAAAATAGATCTTTAAGAAATAATATTTTTTTAATCTCATTTCACACTGCAGTTAAAGGCAGATTCTCAAACAGGGTAGATCAAAGTCGGCTCACAAGACTCGGGCAAGCCTACTTGTTGTTGGGCTCATGTTGCTGCTGCTGTTGTGCTTGATGTTTGCAAAGCACAGCGAGTGTGGAGCAAGGGCCGGCTCGCAGTGTGGTTCTTGGCGCTTTTCTTTTCGACTTGCAAGTTTTTGCGCTGCGCGTCTCAAATGAAAATGAATTTCCTTCGGCATTTCCTTGTCTTACTGTGCATTTCAGAAGATTTGATAGGAAGCCACTTGCATATTTTTCCAGCATGTGCAACAATTTCCGACGGAAGCGCGCAAAACTTTCGCAGGTATTTAAGTGGCCCTGCGGCCTTCTCTTCTACCTTCTTCTTCTACCTCCTGCCATTATTTAATCCTCAGCTCAAGTTCTCAATGTGCGGCTTTCCGTTTGCAAGGCAAGGCCTACAACTTGAACTAGAGCTGAAAGAGCAAGCTAATTTATAAATATTTTGCAGAACAGATATTTACTTGACTCAAACATAACTAAATAAATGCACTTTCTGCTTTACATTATTTAATGCTAAATGGAATAACTTAAAGGGAAAACAACAAATGCATCAAATCCAACTTGATTTCTATATGTGTCTGTATATGTATGTAGATGTCTTCCACGTATACCATATGTGCTCGTGTGTCGCATACGACTGTTGTGTTTGACATGAAATACGATTTCGTATTTGCCTTACACCAATTTGCTTTTAGTGGCGGCAGCGACTCCTCCGGCGAGCCTACTCGAATTATGTAAGCATTCCACTCGACTAATTTATCATGACAGGCCTTAGCGTTGCAAATAGTTTCGTCCACGTTACAATTTTACAGCATAATTAAAGGCCTGTATTTCAGGTGGAGCCTCTGCTCAAGCGCTGCAAATGCGAGAAATGGGAAAGTGAAGGAGAAAGAAGTATGGTCACTCGCAGGGCCAGAAAAAAGGCAGAACAGGATAAATACCTAATTAACAGGATAAATACCAAATAAACTATTTCTGAATTTTATGAAGTTTTATATTCAATATGATATATTCGGATGAGAAATATCCAAGCTGAGCACGAATACTTTCTGATATCTTTCGCCAATACGATTTAATTTTTCGAATAGTCTTTAAAAGGATGTTAAGTCTAAGTCTAATAAAAATATTTTGAGCATACGGGGGGTATTTAATATTATGAGAATTTATTTGTTGAATAATTTAATTTCAAGACTTACAATCTTTATGAAACTTTCAGAACGTAATCCTAATGTTTAAATGTGTGAATATGCCAAAGTCTCTAGTATTTGAAATACGCCTGTTACAAATATGAGGGTGAAGGGGTATATTTTAACAAACCCCGAAATTGTATTTAATGCATCTTAATATACATTTTAAATTTGGAGACTCTAGCTTTAAAGATGTAGGAGAAATCATTTTATAACTGATTTTCGATAAGGGTTTAAAAAAACTATATAAAAAATAACGGAGTGCGTTATCGTATTTTAGTGATAAACTCAATATCCGCGCGATGTATACGGACTTTCTAAAAAAATTGAAGTCTCTAGCTTTTATATCTTCTGAGATCGCACAGACGGACAGGCCAAATCGACTCAGTTCGCCGCTCTGGTCAAGACTATATATAGTTGATGAGGTCTGCGAAAATTCCTTCTGCCTGTTACATACTTTTCACAAAACCATTATACCCTGATTTACCATTTTCAATGGGCTCAGGGTATAAAAAGTCAACACAACCGATAATAGTTCAAAGACATTGCGATCGAGTGCGAATTGAGGTCCCTTAATATTCCATAAAAATATTTGGGGATCAGCTGATTCATATAGCTACGCGAAAGGGCAGCACCAACTAAGCATTGTGAATAAACTTCAAAATGAATTTATCTATACACAAAAATGTGTAACATGTAAAAATCTGTTTTTATGCCAATTGTCAAATATGTCAGACATATCTACGATAGGTTTGAGTAATATGACATACATATCTACGATAGGTTTGAGTAAAATGGATGTCATCATTTTTTTATTTGTCTTGACCAACTTAGCTTGCAAATATTCATTTCAAAATTGTCTGTGAAAATTATGTATGGTACGTAGGCCAATTGCGGAGAGACAGCATACAATATGATGACAGTTGGCAAACAACCCATTTGGCAGCAACGATGCACTAGAGGTGAATACCGTACGAAATCAGGTGCTCCGAAAACTACTCGTTGAGGCTAACATTCTATTTCCTCCGATCACGCCCACCCGGCCAGCGTGCCTCCTACCAATACGCATTGTTGTAGCGACAATGGGCTTCTTTGGACTGGTCTGCGCCTTTACGAACCGGGTCTCGATTGCACACATTATCCTTGAGCTGGTTGCGCACAGGAATCGAACGGACCCGATTGATCGAAAGGGCAGCGGGGTATGTGCACCCGATGGCGGTGTGAGCGCGGAAAGAATTAATGTAGGTTGAGTGGATATGTTTACCGTTCGACGTATATTATGTAATGTAAGAGCACCCCAATCACAGCGAAGAATCAATCACGAGTGGTCCGAGTCGCTGCAGGGCTTCATTTTGGGTTGCTTTTACATCGGCTACTTTGTCGTCCACATCCCCGGCGGCATGCTGGCCGACAGATTCGGTGCCAAGTGGGTCTTGGGCATCTCAATGCTGTGCTCAGCGTTGTGCACTATTTTCACTCCACTTATAGTCGAAATCTTCCACGAGAAGGGCCTGATAGCTGTGCGTATTTTGATGGGAGTCGCACAAGGGTCGATTTTTCCTGCTCTTACCGTACTACTATCACACTGGGTGCCCCCGAGGGAGCGCTCGACATTGGGCGCCTTCTGCTACAGCGGAGTCAGCGCCGGCACCGTGGTAAGCAACCTGGGCTCTGGCTTCATGATCCACTACCTTCCCTGGGGCATGTGCCTCATAGTGTTTGGCACAGCGACAATGTTCTGGATGATCGCATTTGTCAGTATTTGTGCATTTACAGCTAGTCTAGCTCCCGCCCTAATGGTCTCTAACATAGGTCCTAATATGCGCCAGCACACCAAACGAGCACCTATTCATCAGGCCAGGCGAAAAGGCTTACCTGAAGAGGCACATACCAGTGCAGAAGGAGATCCTGTCAACACCCTGGAGAAGGATATTGTTCAGCAAGGCATTGATTGCATTGGCCATCTCCCAAATGGGCCACGACTGGGGATTCTTCGCGATTGTCAGCTACCTGCCCAAATATATGTCCGATGTCCTTCAGTTTTCTATACTCTCCAACGGCATCATGACCTCCTTGCCCTTCATTGCGCTGTGGCTTAGCTCTCTGATTTGTGGCTTTCTGGCCGATTGGCTAATACGCACCAGACGAATGACGCTCAATGTGGAGCGAAAAGTATTCACATTCATTAGTGAGTCCAAAGTGTTTAGTCTTTCATGGCTGCACCGAGCACTTACAAGTTTTCTGTGCCCCTAGGCGCCTTTCTACCAGGAGTGCTCATGGTCGTAGCCTCGTATGTCGGATGCAATAAGAGTTTGGCTGTGGCATTCTTCACGCTCTCGCTGTTCACGATGGGCCCGTTCTATGCAGGCCAAAAGCTAACGCCCATGGACATGTCGCCCACTTATTCGGGAACCATTATGGCCATCTGTAATGGACTGGGCTCGGTAATCGGAGTGGCATGTCCCTCCATTATTGGCATCATGACAACCGACGTAAGTTGAGTAAACCATATATGTAAATATATTGATATATGGAGCGGGAACCCCTACAACCATGTATCTGTCCCATTTCAGACTACAATGAGGCAATGGCGCTCCGTATTCTGGCTGAGCTTTGCTATTCTGGTCTTCTCCGGCATCGTATTTGCGGTGTGGGGCACCGCCGATCGCCAGGCCTACGATCCAAGGATCCAAAGGCAGAGGAGGCGCAAGAGATCGCACAAACCATTGGACGTGTTTACTTGATACCTGACTAAATGTTTAGTTTTATCGATTTGCAAGCTACTTATGATATTTGTATATATGTAATATGATGTAACTATTTTCTACGCCCTTTTTACGACAACAATAATTTAACTTTTGCATACCTTTTCATTCCAGCATGTCATTCGTTTACTCCATTAAGATACGTTTAATCCGTCATCGATTTGCCGTCGGTTTCCCCTTTTAATAATACGCGTAAACATAAAGGTGTCACGATAGGTTCCACAAATCGATATATGGCATATGTACGTATGCGTGTGTGAATGGGCGACAGATAGGCGTGACTAGAGTAGGTGGGCGGCTCAAAATTACTTAATTAACACATTCATTCCGGCAACGGAATTCTAACTGCCGCCTTAAAGTGCATACCGATAATGGACAAGTTGTTCTCAGTCCCATGACTATATACTATATACCCTTCACACATTAAAAATAGGAAATCAGGGTATAATGCTTTTCTTCATGTGTATGGAACAGGCAGAAGGAGGCGTGAGAGAGCCGATAAAGTATGTGTACGCTTGATCTTGGTCTCGACTGTGTTCATATACAATGTCGATTCGTCCGTCTATGCCATACGCAGTTATTGTTATCGATATTTATCGATCACTATACTTCTAAGAAAACTCTGAGACCGCGTACACAAGATTCGAAATTCTATAAACTACATATAAATATATATTAAATGTGCTGAGACTCTTTATAGCATTATAATTGGTTTTCGACAAGGTTTTAATAGACACAATTGATAGCTATCTTGTCCGTCTGTCCGTATGTACGCAATTTTTTTTTCGGAGCTGTTGAAACTAGAGACTTGAAACTTGGAACACATACTAGTGTATATCTCCGATTTATAAATTGTTGAAATTTTCCCAAGCCGCCCACTAAGGGCGGGGCAGATCTATAATCATATTAGTTGAAGAGCTAAAAAGCTGCAATTACGAATGTAGATCCACGTCGACCACTCAAGGTCACGAGCTATGGTGGGGGCGTGGAAAATCGGATAAAACTGTATCTCCTTGAGTTTAACAGCTAGAACGCTGAAATTTAGCACGTAGGCTAATGTTATGATTCTATAAGGATTAATGACTAAATTGTATTTTTACGCCCTCTACCATTAGAGCCGTGGCAAATTGGACTTGAAGATATAGTGATTTCTTTAATTCTGCTATGTACATATGTCCGCCCACAGGGTGCGTGGCAAACCGCGAAAGTTTATACCTCCTAAACTATAAGAGCTAGAAGCTTTAAATTTAGATTGTTAAATTACTAATAACCTTCCCTATCGACGACCCAATAATAATTATTACGCCCCTTTAAGGGTGGGGCATATTGATTAATATTCTGTAATTTTCGCATTTTTTGAGCATAAGCATCCAAATTTTGCAGTCAGATTACCGTTTGCTCGTTCTAAGAACTTGCTACGCCTAGTGGGGGCGTGGCAAACAGAATTTTCTACAGTATTATACCCTGAACCCATTGAAAATGGGAAATCAGGATATGATGGTTTGGTGGAAAAGTATGTAATTGGCCGAAGAAATCATCACAGACCCCATAAAGTACATATATTCTTGATCAGGACGACGAGTTGAGTCGATATAACCATGTCCGTCTGTCCGTCCGTTCGACCGTATGAGTGCGTCGATCTCAAAAGATACAGAAGCTAGAGAGTTGAAATTTGGCATGCACACTCGTGCATACCATAAGCAATACGAGTTTATCTTGACCTGGAAACTTCAGATTTACTGTGTATATACACATGATGAATACAAACATTTAGTAATTTACAGATTTTGGATACCGCACCCCCTTCGCTCACAATTCGCAAAAAACACATTTCGAATACTAGAGACTTGTGCATTGGAATGTACATACATTTGTATGTATTGAATGTACATACATAATGATTACATTCTGGATGTTTCATTAAGATTGTACGTCTAGAAATTAAATTATTCAACAAATACGTCCTCATAATATTGCCCACTCTGCAGCGCAGTCGCTGCTTACTGCACAGTTAGCAAAGTGCGTTTTTATATGTACGTGCGTCTGGGTGCATGTATGTATGCATGTATGTGTTCATAAAAGAAGCGCAGAATAATTAGAATACCAGCTTGGACGGCTCAGGGTATTTCTTACCGTTTGTATTCAAGATTCAAGATTTTGCATATTGGCGGATTAAATCTTATCGTGACTGTTTTTAGGGTAATTAAATATTGTGAAATGAAATTGTCATAGAAATAGTATGTGTATGGAATATGTGACAGCACAAATTGAAATTGTATACTTATTCATACATACATATTGTTATTTTCAAACTTTTCTATACACTTTCAAGCAAAATTATCAATAAGCTCTAAATTTGCTAAACGTTTTTTTTTAATGTACTAAATTCATAACGCTTAAATGGAAAAGGAAGATAAAAGACCTGAATGGGGACGCAAGTGCGGCGAGGGTAAATATAAGAGAGCATGTATATTTCATAAAATGATTATGACCACGTGACCAGGCTGCTTGGTCCCGCAACGCATTGCTGTGGCTCTGCTGGGATTTTTCGCGTTACTGTTCGCGTATACGAATCGTATCTCAATATCCCATGTAATCGTTGAACTGGTTGTGCCTAAGCTTCGAACGAATGTTACAAAAGGAACAGTATGTCCCGGTGACAAATCACTTTCAACCCACAAGCTATCGGATGTAAGTTGACGAAAGCAGAAATGATTTATTACTCCGCTTTTATATTGAGGAATACTTTCTTCTCTGACTATAGTACGCAGACAGATACCGTTGGTCTGAGGAACTGCAAGGGTTTATTTTAGGTAGCTTCTATATAGGGTACATAATAACCCATCTGCCCGGTGGCATACTAGCTGACAGATTTGGAGCGAAATGGGTCTTAGCCATCGGCATGCTAATATCCGCCCTTACCACTTGCCTTACGCCAGTCGCAATTATGTACGGTCACGAATGGGGCTTGGTTGCGATTCGTATCATAATGGGACTCGCGCAAGGACCCCTCTTTCCAGCTATGACCACTCTGCTCTCCCATTGGGTACCCAAAAAGGAGCGTGGCACATTGGGCACCATCTGCTACAGCGGCGTGACCGCAGGAACGGTCTCTAGCAACCTTGGCTCCGGCTTAATGCTGCATTCAATGAATTGGCCTATATGCCTCTACGTTTTTGGTTCTTTAACAATTCTTTGGGTAATACTTTTCGTAAGTATTTAGTTGGTGATATACACTGAGCTGCTGATATTTCACGCTCGTATCCTCGCAGGTAATAATTTGCTACAGCAGTCCCAGCCTACATCCATGGATCCGAACGAAGGAGAAGATTTACCTAGAAGAGCAAATACCAATGAAAGCTGAAAGGCCGCCGATACCCTGGAAGAAGTTGTTATTTAACAAGCCATTGGCAGCAACGATTGTAGCTCAGATAGGACACGATTGGGGCTACTATGTTATGATCACCTGCCTACCCAAGTTTATGGCAGACGTGCTTGGGGTGACCATACGTTCGAATGGCATCATGACTTCTCTCCCTTTCGTTGCGATGTTTATTAGCTCGATTAGTTGTGGCTTTTTAACCGATTGGCTAATACGCACAGGCAGAATGTCTATTAACTTAGAACGAAAATTGTTTAACTTTATTGGTGAGTGATCTTGTACTTATTCAGCTTATGCTCAGTCTCGCCGTATCCGTCCGTCCGTCGGTTCGTACCGCCGTACAGAGATTTGGGATGACTTTTATATTCGCTTCGCCTTCAACACGGATAAGTTAATATCGGTTAAATCCAAAATCCAGCCAAAAATCATATTAGTCGAAGAGCTGGAACGCTAGAATAGAATTTAGATTCGTGTTGACAACCCAGGATCTAAAAACTATGGCGGATATATCTACGCCCAGTAAACCGATCACTAAACTGAAACACTGAAGCGCACATAAGCTAATGCTACGATTCTATAAAAATTGATATAAAATTTATACATACATATATCTACTTCAATTCGGGTCGTGACAAATCGAATCTGAAGATATATTGATTTTGCACGTTTTTTGACCGTACGCATTCAGAATTTGCAGTTAGGCTACCGATAGCTAGTTCTAAGAAGTTCTTAGTAAGAACTGTCCAAAATGATGTGTCTACGGCCAATATATGCACAGTTTTAACGGTAGTCAATCGATAGATGTAGTCTTTGTTACACTTCTCTAAGAGACTCAGAATTGAAAACACGCGTTTGCTTACGCGCTAATAAAATATGCAACAGTATTGAATCTACATTGTGTTTTTACTTATCAGTTAATGTGACGCACACCACTGGTTGCTTGATCAGGTAGCTAAAATAGATTAATTCAATCGCGATATCCTTGAAGGCGCGCTTTTGTCTGTACGAATAGAATAGACGATGAATTTGTGCACATTTATAGGAAATCGCGCTGATCTGCGGCTAGCTTGGAGCTGGTATCCAAAATATAATAAAGCAAAATTATATAAATTATACCTGTAATTTGACGATCCTAGCTCCAAAGATGTACTAGATATAAAAGGGAACACCCCAATTTTAATGGGATCATGTCCTGCATTGATAGCGTTTGGGCTGTGAAGCAGCATTTTCAGTCGGTAACGCTTGAGAGTTTACTAAATGTATGTGTGTAAACTTGTAAGATCCATGTGTGAGAGTCCTCGTACTTTTTTCAGTTGTTCAGTGTCTTGCATAAATGATATACACTTCTCCTTTTCTTACCTAGGTGCCATTGGACCGGGAGGCCTAACAGTCGCAGCGTCGTACGCTGGCTGCGATGTCTATGTAGTAGTTGCACTCTTTGTTTTAGCTATGTTTACAATGGGTGCATACTATGTCGGCCAAAAGCTCTCGCCAATGGATATGTCACCCACTTTCTCGGGCACTATCACGGCCATCTGTAATGGGCTTGGCTCTCTGGCTGGCTTGGCAGCACCTCCTATTGTCGGATTGATGACACCCAATGTAAGTTAAAGTTACGGAAATTAATTTTATTTTCGACTCGTTCATTATTGGCAATTACAGACGACAGTAGCTCAATGGCATGGCGTATTCTGGCTGGGCTTTGTAATATTGGTTTTGTCAGCAATCGTATTTTGGATTTGGGGCACAGCCGAGATACAGTCGTACGATCCCAATGCCCCAGCGAAAACAGCGTAACTAAAAGACTGATAGCACTCCGTGAATACACTACATCAGGATATTACTGACGAAGAGAGGTCTCGAGCAAAATTATTTATGTGAACCTATTTGTATGCGCGTAAATTGGAGTACACTGATTTTAATTTTCAAAGGCGAAGAGGAAAATTATATATGTGGCATATAAGCTCTTGATCTTCTGTTACTAATCATATGACAGAGCTGTCATATAAGACATTTTTATGCAATTACCGGAATTTAATTAGTCTAAGAACGTGTATTATCAAGCTTAACTCTTTAAGTCAAAAAAATTGTTTGACAATCTGTTCTTATACAACAAACTATAAAATAAACAAGTAAGAAAGCTCTAGTCGAGACTGCTCGACTACGAGATCCCCT